CTGATCGGTGAGCGCCCACTATCATAATTAATATTCCCGATCACAACCGACAGGACAACGGGCCCGTGGCTCAATGGTAGAGCGTTCAACTCCATGACCAAAGATCCCGGGTTCGAATCTCAAGTGATCCACACTTGGGGTTGGGTATGACTGGCTGATGACGGCTAATAAGCCAGAAATGGCCATTCCGGTCTCCCTTGTCTTTGTCGGTATTACCTTTCCAACATATATCACTAGTCGCTGTGCGACTGCCTGCGAGGGTTTAAGTATGAGCCCCAAGGCACAACGGAACGAGCATGTTCCGTAACCTGATCGGTGAGCGCCCACTATCATAATTAATATTCCCGATCACAACCGACAGGACAACGGGCCCGTGGCTCAATGGTAGAGCGTTCAACTCCATGACCAAAGATCCCGGGTTCGAATCTCAAGTGATCCACACTTGGGGTTGGGTATGACTGGCTGATGACGGCTAATAAGCCAGAAATGGCCATTCCGGTCTCCCTTGTCTTTGTCGGTATTACCTTTCCAACATATATCACTAGTCGCTGTGCGACTGCCTGCGAGGGTTTAAGTATGAGCCCCAAGGCACAACGGAACGAGCATGTTCCGTAACCTGATCGGTGAGCGCCCACTATCATAATTAATATTCCCGATCACAACCGACAGGACAACGGGCCCGTGGCTCAATGGTAGAGCGTTCAACTCCATGACCAAAGATCCCGGGTTCGAATCTCAAGTGATCCACACTTGGGGTTGGGTATGACTGGCTGATGACGGCTAATAAGCCAGAAATGGCCATTCCGGTCTCCCTTGTCTTTGTCGGTATTACCTTTCCAACATATATCACTAGTCGCTGTGCGACTGCCTGCGAGGGTTTAAGTATGAGCCCCAAGGCACAACGGAACGAGCATGTTCCGTAACCTGATCGGTGAGCGCCCACTATCATAATAACTATTCCCGATCACAACCGACAGGACAACGGGCCCGTGGCTCAATGGTAGAGCGTTCAACTCCATGACCAAAGATCCCGGGTTCGAATCTCAAGTGATCCACACTTGGGGTTGGGTATGACTGGCTGATGACGGCTAATAAGCCAGAAATGGCCATTCCGGTCTCCCTTGTCTTTGTCGGTATCATATCATCTATGTCTACCACTAGTCGCTGTGCGACTGCCTGCGAGGGTTTAAGTATGAGCCCCAAGGCACAACGGAACGAGCATGTTCCGTAACCTGATCGGTGAGCGCCCACTATCATAATTAATATTCCCGATCACAACCGACAGGACAACGGGCCCGTGGCTCAATGGTAGAGCGTTCAACTCCATGACCAAAGATCCCGGGTTCGAATCTCAATTGATCCACACTTGGGGTTGGGTATGACTGGCTGATGACGGCTAATAAGCCAGAAATGGCCATTCCGGTCTCCCTTGTCTTTGTCGGTATCATCTCATCTATGTCTACCACTTGTCGCTGTGCGACTGCCTGCGAGGGTATAAGTATGAGCCCCAAGGCACAACGGAACGAGCATGTTCCGTAACCTGATCGGTGAGCGCCCACTATCATAATATATATATATATATAACAGACGTGATCGTGAATATTGTCTGTACATTTTACGTAGGGTAGTCAACCGCCTTGTATCCTGCTTTCAAAGGAGTTGAACGTTCACGCACACATCCTGGGAAGTTTCGAAATGGGATCACTACATAATATGAGTGGCATTTAACCTTATGCCCTCTCATTACTTATCATGAAAGGTATAAAAGCAGTCGTACTCTGCTAATTGGCGTTTTCTTTAGCTGTTCTCTTCTACAGAACTTGTCACTTGATGATGGCTACATTTCTGGTTGCAATTGCGGCTTCACTCTCTACACAGTTGCGAGGCTCGCTAAATAAAAAAACAGAGAAAACGACTTCTACATTTCAAGAAGCAACCACTACAAATGCAACTCTTGAAGGATAATTGGTTGGATACCAGTGTCGCAACACTCCGTTAATGATGCTAGTATTATTGCAGTTAGTTACTGATACTGCAAGCGTTGGTAGAGTAGCATTGGCAGCCGTGGTGGCGGTGGTAGTAGT